ATTTTAAGGGAAACTTGGTGAAGCATGGTGGCTCATGATGAGATTGGGGGTCTCCTACCTATTAAAAGGACTATACGAGTCCTGGATGTGAATAATCAGTCCTTCAGAGAACCAGAGGTAAGACTTTTAGAGAAGAATTAAACCAAAAGGATGTCTTCTAATTCCACAGAACTTTACTTCTAATTTTAACTTAACTTTTGATCTTGCTATGTGTTAAAATGTATAACTAATTTATATTCAAGTTTGAAGTGTGTTCAGGAACTTTGGTAAAGTTTAGGAACTATGGTATAGTTAGGTTTATACTTAGCATAGTACGAATGTGCACAAACTCGAAGCAGAAAAAGGTTTTAAATTTTATGCCGCTCAATTTGGTTAAATTGGTCACATTTCTAATGCCTACTAAATAGTTACTATTTATTTAACTTGCTTTATGTTAACTAGTTTTAGAAACTGTTTTGTGGAATAAATAAGATTCCCCTGCCAGCTAGTGAACAAATTTCAATTAAAATGCTGTCTCATCTAGTGCTTGTTTTTATTTATTTTTTCCACATCTAATAATTGTATGCAACTTTTTTCTTCAGAAAGAAAAATATGTTAAAATATTTAAACCAGTGAATTATTATTTAGCTACAGCCACCTCCTTGCTTTAATTGTTTGAAGTCAGTGTGGTTTTTAGAAATCTGTATGAACATTTATCAAAATAAGTTGTGATTTTTATGCTATTTTATTTAATTTTTGATAGTTGATTTACTATTATAGGAGTATTCCATCTATACTAAAATACAGTATATTTAATGTTTCTGTACTTTATTAACTGTATTCACTTGATTATGGTGATGGTTTTGTGGCTATATACAAATATCAAAACTTATGAATTATATATTTTAAATATGTGCAGTTCTTAAGGTTCAGTAAAGCTGTGAGTCATATATACATACACCTTTTGGTTGTAAAAATAGCTGCCATCTTTAAAGGTATGCTTTCTTTTGGTGTGGTTTAACTTTGTTTTTTGTTTTTCTGTTTGTTTGGGTTTTGCTTATATGTTTCAGTTTTCTCAAAATAATCTAAGCATTTTCATTGATTAGAGCAAGTCATACATGGTGACCAGTATAGATACTGAAACTAACCTTTTTTGTTTGGTATTAGACATGTTTTTGATTTACCTTTATTCCAAAGATTAAAAACAACAGGAATATTGTCAGGGTTTTGGTGTTAGCAACACAGCCTTAAATAACTAAATTTGGCTATTTCAATTACTAAGTAGAAAGGGAAGAAATCCTATGTGCTCTTAACTCATTTTTATCTTTTTATAAATAACTTTTTCGTCCTTCGTTTTAAAGTTCTTGCCAGGTAAAAGAGAAAATTCTTTATCCAGTAATCCAAACTAATGAACCCAAACCCATACTGTTTTTATTTAAAGTGTCTTGATTTGGTTGACTGTAGAAGAGACCCTCCTGAAATACACCATTAGTAGGAGAAACCATTTTACAAAAACAAACAAAAAAAACAACAACAAACAACTCAGTTCACAATAGAAGTTTTCCATGTTGTTGCTTTTATATGCAAGGTACATCCCAGTAAACCTTTTTTTGGTTTATAGATAAATATCCAGAAAATATTTTAAGGCATAAAATCTGTCTACAGGTGGATTAGTAAAATAAATAGATTGATTAAAAGCTCAGTCTCAAGGCAGATTCCCCTAGCTAAACTAGTTAGTTTGGTTAAAAGCTAACCTAAATAAACAACATAAGTTTATGGTAAAGGTTGAATGTTTTTCCCCATCTAAGTGAACTTTGCCCTGGTGAAAGGTTGCCTGTGATAGAAAGTTCCTTGAGCATGTAAAACTTCTTGGTATTCTTTCTTTGTTCGAGTAGATTTTCAGATTGTCTTTTGTAGAGCTGTATAGTTTCAATATCTGGTACCCCTTTTGTAAGCTTCTTGTAGTCACCATAATGTTGTTAACAGCACTCCAAATAAAAATAAGCAATAGCAGCAACAAATCCATTATGTAAGCCTTAATTTGTGTGATGATAAGATAGGTAGACTCCTGCCCCCTCTCTTCCTTCATCACCTCCAAACACTGTACCTGCACCCTTACGGTAGGTTTGATACCTATGCAATGCTTAAGTTTGATACCAGTTCTCGAAAAAATTTGTCTTCAAAATATGTTTTGCGACAGTGTGAATGTTTAGGTTCTTATTAACCAAACTACGAGAATTAAAATGGTTCATCTGAATCTCTAAAGAAAACTATTTCTGGTTGTAGCTCACATGAGCCAAACCAAACCTGTATTTTAAAAGACAAATTTTCATCCCATTCCTCTGGGTGACTCATGAATGCCTAATCCATATCACTTTTCCACAGAAGTTTTCTGTATTACATTTTTTTCAAATAGTGTATATATCCTGAAATTAGTAGTAAACCATAATTCAGTATTACATCTTTACATTTCATTCACACTTTTCAAGTTATTCATTAAAATTTTTTATACTTTTAAAATATATGTGCTAAATGTCTGTGTTGTGTCTGTCAAACTCAATATCTGTCCTTTAAGTAAGGCAGGAAGGTTACTATTGGATCCCCAAAGTATGTGTGAAAAGTACAAAGGTGTCCTCCCACTACCCCTACCGCCAGTACCCACATTTCCTGATTTAGTACCATACTTCTTTACAAAACGTTTTAAGTCTCATGCTCTACTGACTGCGCTAGCTAGGCACTCTTACCAGGACATCTTAGATTAGATTAAACTCTTAAGATTAATATATCCTTTATGAAAAGTAAGATGGGTTTCTAAAAGACTGTGGAACATATTTAACCGCCAGATTCTGCTTTAGCATAATATCCTGCCACCCTAAAGAGACTGCATAAACAAAATCCACAGTAGTTTCAGAAAGATGCCTTTGATATATTTACATTTAATTATCTAAATCTAAATTCTGTAGTTTTAGTTTTAAATATCATATAATTTTGAGTTACCAGGAAAATATTAGTTTACAGTAAACTGACCCTATAAAGAATTATCATTAATTTTATCTTATGTGATAAAATAAATGTCAAAATATTATCTTCCAGCTAAAATAATCTTTTCTTTCAAATTTACTGGGAATAGTACCTTTCCATAGATTTTTAAATTGAAATTAAATATTTTGTGATTTACTAGGAAGTTAAATTTATTATGTTTTAAACAAAGAAGAGGAATTAACCTTTTTTCAAAAAGTGGAACAGAATTTCTGACAACTGCTTTGTTTCTGGTTAATGTTGGCATATCTTACTTTGTGAAGTAATTGTGTCTCTATTCAAACAGAAGATTCTTTGTTCTGTCTTTACTAAATAGAAAGGAATGCCTTATGTTAGACCTTCTGCCCATGCATGTGTCATTTCAGTCTTGCACAGATGTATATTGTAAAGGCATTCACACATGTCCTCAGCCACACAGTGTGTCATTTTACAACATATCTTAAAGGTTTCTTTTTCAGTTCATTTAACATTTGCACATTAGTGGCTTTATAGTCAAAGTTTTACTTTGGGTTAATTATTTTGGTGGGATAGGGTTGGTCTGTAGCTCCTCTTACGGTCTTCAAAGGCCTGAATTGATTATCTACAGAGTCTCCTTACTTTAGTAGGTATTGTTCATATATATATGGAAAAAGGTTAAATACATATATGTGTGTGTATGTGTGTGTATATATGTATTAGCTTTAATAACTAATTGTTTCTTTGACTATTTGAATAATTTAAGTTTTCAGAGAATTTTAACTCTTTCTGTCATTTTATTCTTAAATTACTTTAGGGGATTATTTTTACTCAATTTCCACAGCCTTTACTTTTTTTATGACTTTAGTCATATCAAAGAATTTTTAGGAAAAAAAATGTTTCATCTATTATTTTTAAATTGTAGTTTTTATTTTTAAGTGCTAATTTTAATTATAGATCCTTCTATATTATTTTGTCAGGATGCCACAATTGTCAAAGGCATCAAATACAAACAAATAATTATACTCTATAGACATAAAGGATAGGCCTGTTTTATGATCTGTCCTTCTTTATTTCAATAGCTGAATGAGTCACCTAATGGTATGCCTCCATTTTCGTAGCAGTAAAATTAGAATAATGAATTTTGTAAACTTTTGAGATCCTTGAATAAGTGATGTGTTTGCTATATACTGTTATTTTTAAAACAATACATGTAGAAAAATAAGTATTTCTACTGCATGTCTCTATATTTTTCCTTTAAGTTAATAAATTAAGAAAATATCTAATTATTTCTAATCTCAACATATACATAGTAAGTGGAAATATTTCTAAGAAAAAAATATTAGTGATAGTTGAAACTTAGTATGTTTCAAGCACTATTCTGAACCCCTTAAACATATTTTATTTAACCTTCATAACAACTTTATAAGAGAAGTTCTAATACTACATTTTACAGATAAGAAAACTGAGGCCCAGGATGTTGCCTTAAAAGTGCTAGAACCAGGATTTAGGCACAGTCATATTTCAGAGCCTGAATGCTCTTAACTGCTGACCCCTGCCTCTGCTTGAACACCTCCCATGACCTATTCCAGTGTCCTACACATTCATTTAAAAGCTAGTCTCCAAATGAAGTATTTAAGAATGAAATGATAGTGTCTTGGATTTGCTTTAAAATATTTCAGTAGGGGCAAACACGAAACAAGTTATTCCACCAAAAAACTATCGAAGCTGAATGATAAGCACATGAGATCTATTATGCTATTCTCCATTCTTACGTATGTTTGAAAATTTTCATAATACTGTAGGCTTTTTTATAAAGTTAACCTCTGTATTAAACTAAAAAGTTCTATAGGGTTTTAAAATCTAATTTCTTTTAATTTTAGTTTTTCTTCTGTTTAATGATATTTGTTATGTGCCCAATGATAATTCAAATATTTGACTGGCTTTTTATACTACTTATTTTTTAATAAGTGTTCTTAGCATTTTAACATAATCTGTATTTGTTTTTTGTTTTTCTGTTTTTTTAGGAGCCAAGCAATAAAAGAGTTCGACCTCTAGCTCGAGTCACATCCTTGGCAAATTTAATCTCTCCTGTAAGAAATGGGGCAGTCAGACGTTTTGGTCAAACAATACAGGTCAGTGAGAGAGAGGATGGGGAGCCAACTAATGTAGTGAAGGGGACATTTTATAGAAGACTCAGTGTATCTTTCAAATCTTTTCTCTTTTACTCACCTCTGTGTTTGTTTGTTTTCTTTTAAGTCATTTACCCTTCGTGGTGACAATAGATCCCCAGCTTCAGCCCAGAAGTCGTGGAGCAGATCAACAGTCCCAACACCTTCTAAAAGGAGAAGTAGTGTATTGTGGTCAGAGATGTTAGACGTCGGCATGAAGGAGTCTTTAACTACCAAAGAAATTAAACGTCAGGAGGTATGCTGGCATACAATAGACCATATTTATTGACTTATATTTTTAAAAATAGTCCCTATTTTTTAAATGTGTTTTGCAAGAAGAATAGCAAATTAATGCCTATGACAAAATCAACTTGCAATTTTGAGCAGCAATCCATAACACATGCTGAGTAGTACTTTTTGATGGGTGGTGATCATCAAACTTAACTATAAGGAGAGGGTAAAATTATGAAACATGGCAGCCTCTTATTGCAGATTCCATTCTGAATTACAGATTTCAGACTGAGTCACTTCAAAAAGCATCATTCAAAATATCAGTAAATATCAATTGTGTATAATATTCTTTTCTCAAAGAAAGAAATACCTATCATGTTACTGGATTTTTTTTAGGCAATATATGAAATGTCTCGAGGTGAACAGGATTTAATTGAGGATCTCAAGCTTGCAAGAAAGGTTAGTAAATAACTTTTTATTATATGCCCTAGTTTTTAAAAATATTTCACAAATTCCAAAGGATAATTCTCTTAACCTTTAAAAATGAAAAGTGGAAAATATCTACTGATGAATACTTTTTTTACAAACAGTAAAGATGAGATTTATTAAACACATCTCTTCAAGTATGAATTATCAGTAAGAGCGTCTACTTGCGGATTAATATCTACCTTAATGTCTTTTAGTAAAATGAATAGAATTCCTCTCTAGTTTTTAAGAAAAAGGGAATAATTACATTCAAATACAGATCCTCTCGTTGTGTTTTATTTACTCAATATCTTTGTGTGACACATTTTTTCCCATTTATTAGGCCTACCATGACCCCATGTTAAAGTTATCTATTATGTCAGAAGAGGAACTAACACAAATATTTGGTGATCTGGATGCTTACATACCTCTGCATGAAGGTAAAATAAGCTCCTTAATTTTCATTAGTATCTGAAGAGTAGTAACATAGATCATTTTAAATTTAATGCTGAATTACTTTAAAATAAGCTTACTATTGATATTTCTGCTTTTCTATACTTCAGATTTGTTGGCAAGATTAGGAGAAGCAACCAAACCTTCTGGAACAATAGAGCAGATTGGTGACATTCTTGTGAACTGGGTGTGTATGGAGTTGTTTGCTTCAGATAGTTTTTTACATATTTTCTATACTTGTCATTTTTTATGAATATCAGATGATTTGATACAATAACTGGATTTTAAAAATAGGTAAGACATTAAAAATGAACAAAATTAGTAGCTGTAAGAAGTTACTAGTATAGTCTCTATTTCAAAAAAAAAATACTTCATGAATGCTAGTTTAAATATATATATAGTCTCCCCTCTTTGGACAGAATCCCCACAGTATATGTCATTAATTATTTGTTTCTGCCAGATACTAGGTTAACATTTGTGCCTGCCAGATACTAGGCACTGTTCTAGAAGGGATCACAGGAGATTAGGTGATGAAAGACAGTTTCTGCATTTAAAATCTAATGAAAGAATATCTGTCAAGTATATAAACATTCTCGGGGTTGGTGATGAATGTGCCAGAGGAACACTCACGTGTCCTGGGAATACAGAAGAAGAGTATCTAACTGAGGTTGGGGGAAGTCATGAGTCTTCGATTGAATTTAGTTAAATTATTGGAATAGGGCGTTCTGATGTCAGCCCAAAACACTATCCTTCCCCCTAGTCACCTGCAGGAAAATTTTCACAGCTTGTTAAAACTTTTAGGAATAGCTGTAATTTTTGTGTTTCATATTCCCAGGCTTACTAATGGACTAAATCATAACAGAAACTTACCATACTTTGTTTTCTTTAATTACTCTGTAGTTGCCAGGCTTGAATGCCTACAAAGGCTATTGTAGTAACCAGCTGGCAGCCAAAGCTCTTCTTGATCAAAAGAAACAAGATCCAAGAGTCCAGGACTTTCTCCAACGATGTCTTGAGTCTCCCTTCAGTCGAAAACTAGATCTTTGGAGCTTCCTAGATATTCCTCGAAGTCGCCTAGTCAAATACCCCTTATTGTTAAAAGAAATTCTTAGACACACTCCAAAAGACCACCCTGATGTTCAGCTTCTGGAAGAAGCTGTAAGTAGTCAAATACTCATGTTTTGCAAATTTATATATTAGCTAGCCTTAAAAAAATTTACAATGATACTCTCAAATTTTATGCATATCACATCAGCATAGCGAAGTGTTCTGTTGTTTTTAGTACCCAATATGGTAGCGCACTGCATAGTATAAAGAGACGTAATATAGTTTATATTTTCATCACAAAACTAGATTCTAATCTGATCTCTTTCACTAGCTAGCTATGTGACTTTGGGCAAATCACCCAATTTGGCTGATGCTGTTTTTTTATATGTAGAATGAAGGGACTGATTGAATTTACTTGATTTCTAGAGTCCCTTTAAACTTTAAAATTTTATCATTTTGAAAAGATGTTTTAGCTTTATAGGGGAACAGGATAAATTAGTAAGCTAAAAATGCTCCATCAATGTTTTGGTAATTTTTAGGTACTGATAATACAAGGCGTTCTCTCTGATATCAACTTGAAGAAAGGCGAATCAGAATGCCAATATTACATTGACAAACTGGAGTATCTGGATGAAAAGCAGAAGGATCCTAGAATTGAGGCAAGCAAAGCATTGCTTTGCCACGGGGAACTGAAGAACAAAAATGGACATGTGAGTGCATTTGAATGCTAATGTGAAGTGAGCTATTATTTTTCTTTCCAACCTTGTTTAAATTTATCACATAATGAAAGGTTACTGGGTTTTATTTCATGTTATTTGATAAAACAAACATGATTTCTCATGAATTACTTACATGCCTTAGTGGAGAATCAATAATATTTTGTTTTGAAGCATAAGTCATCAACTTATTTGGCTAGGAGATTCCTTTCTTAATAGTTTCATAATATATAATAAAGAATACTCATTCAAAAAATGTAGAATTCATTTTATAGTAATAGAAGTCATTCTTAGTACTACTGAACACATTTCTGCAGCAGATTGAATGAAAGCAAACTTATTTTTTAAATCATTACAAAAGCACCAGCTAAAACTACAATAAGTATAAGCTTAGATAGATAGTATTTTTGTTTCATAAAGTACTTTTCAAAAACTCAATTTATAAGTTGAGGTTCTTTTTTGGAAAAAGTTGAAATGTGATATCTCTGATTTCTATCATGAGGCCTAATTGTTTTAAAACAATTAGGCTTAAATTTGTGACAAAGTAGAACCATTAATTAACATTTTTACCAGCTTGCATTTTTTAATCCTTTGTTAGAAAACTATGGAATACAGTACTGGTGTTTCTAATCATGTTACTGCTGATAATCAAGTCTTTGTGAGAAGTAGCATTTACTCAGCTGCTGCTTAATCTAAAGTTACACACCAATTTTAAAAGTTTTATACAGTCTGAGATTAGAAAAGCTGTCTGTGTAGAATATGCACAGCCTTGATCTTTATGGGGTCTTTGTAAAGGTATCTTAATAAATTAATGTGGTGAAATTAATGTCAAATCAAGTTCTTTTAATGGATTTCAATCACCTACAGTCACAAAGTGCCATACTTAAGAAGGGTTTGTTTCCCCTTCTTCCAGAAACTTTACATTTTCCTGTTTCAAGACATCTTGGTTTTGACCCGGCCTGTTACACGAAATGACCGACACTCTTACCAGGTTTACCGGCAGCCTATCCCAGTCCAAGAGCTGGTGTTAGAAGATCTACAGGATGGAGATGTGAGAATGGGAGGGTCCTTTCGAGGGGCTTTCAGCAACTCAGATAAAGGTAAAAATACTAGCTTTAAAACAGTTTAACTAAACAAACTCAGAACCTAAATATATTTTGTCTTAATCTTTAAAAGTTCTGTTCCTACACAAAAAAAAATAGAAATGAAATAGGTCCCATTGTCCTATATATATATTATTATATTCATTAACTAGAGTACTGATGCACAAAATTGTTACATGATAGGGAGGAGATGTCCCTCAGCCCAGCCTGCATCCTCTCCAAACTGGGACTTCTTGAGGGATGTCCAACTGTCCATTTAAGCTCGGCTTAAACGGGTAGTCGGATATCCCTCTCACAATCCAGGACTGCTGGCTCCCAGCTGCTCACCTGCCTGCCTTCCTGATTGCCCCTAACTGCTTCTGCCTGCCAGCCTGATCACCCCCTAACCACTCCCCTGCCAGCCTGATTGATGCCTAACTGCTCCCCTGCCAGCCTGTTTGCCCCTGTCTGTCATCCCCTGCAGGCTTGGTCTCTTGCAACTGCTCTCCCCTGCAGGCCTGGGTCCCCCCCACTCAACTGCCATTTCCTGCAAACCTGGTCACCCCTAACTTCCCTCCTCTGCTGGCCTAGTCACTACTAACTGCCCTCCCTGAAGGTTTTATCACCCCTAACTGCCTCCCTTGCAGGTCTCTCCCAATTGCCCTCCATTGCTGACCATCTTGTGGTGGTCATCTTGTGTCCACATGGGGGCAGCCATCTTTGACCATATGGGGGAAACCATCTTCTGTGTTGGAGTGATATTCAATTTGCATATTATTCTTTTATTAGATAGGATAGAGGCCTGGTACATGGGAGGGGGCCAGATGGTTTTCCCTGAAGGGTGTCCCGGATCAGGGTGGGGGTTCCCTTGGGGCATGGGGCAGCCTGGGCAAGGGGCCTGTAGTGGTTTGCAAGCCAGCCACGCCCCCAGCAACTCAAGCGGAGGCCCTAGGATCTGGGATTTATTTATCTTCTGTAATTGAAACTGTAGCCTTGGGTGAAGCCACACCTCCTGCTTGCTCCATGACCACAGCCATTTTTGTTGGGATTTATTTATCTTCTATAATTGAAACTTTGTAGATTTAAGCAGAGGCCAAGGCAGGCCAAGGCTGCAAAAGCTTGGCTTCCTCCATTGCCAGGGGCAACTCAAGCCTCCTGCTCTCTCCAGCTTTGTGGTTGCTGCCATTTTTGTTGGGATTTATTATCTTCTATAATTGAAACTTTGTAGCCTTGAGTGGAGGCCTGGGCTGGCCAGGGTATGTGGAAAGCTTGTCTTCCTCCATTGCCAAGGAAACCCAAGCCTCCTGCTTGCTCCATGACCACAGCCATCTTGGTTGGGTTAATTTGCACGCTCGATCCTGATTTGTTGGTGGGTGTGGCTGGTGGGTAGAGCAGAGTGATGGTTAATTTGCATATCACTCTTAGATAGGATATGCAAAGTGCTTTGCTGCTCTAACTTCAGCAGGTGTATCTGATAAGTCATGTATGAACTTTATATTATATTATGTATCTACCTAACTGATTTGCATATTATATAAACTAGAGGGACAGGACAGCCTGGGGGAAGAGGGAGGGGACACAGGAGGTTGGCTGGATGGCTCCACCCCCTGGTCAAACTCCCGATCAAGGGGACAACTTCCATATTAGCCTTTTATTATATAGGATAACCCGCACCCTTATTAAGACAGTATGACAGTGTCATCTAGAATAATCTTTTTATTTAAGTCTGCTGTTTTACTTATTTATTTTTATTTTTATTTCTCTAGCTAAAAATATCTTTAGAGTTCGCTTCCAAGATCCCTCACCAGGCCAATCACACACTCTACAAGCAAATGATGTGTTCCACAAACAGCAGTGGTTCAATTGTATTCGCACTGCTATTGCCCCTTTCCAGCAGGCTACTAGTTCACCTGAGCTGGAAGGTTTGCCAGAGCTCCATGAGGAGTATGAAGAGAACAATCCCGCTGCCACCAGGAACATCAGGGCCCAAAGAAGGGCATCCACGGTGTCGAGTGTGACTCAGGTCGAAGTTGATGGAGATTCTTCAGAATGTGGCTCCCCAGTGCACGCCGCAGACAACATTAAGAATGTCAAAGCACACCGAACACAATCTGGCTTCCGAAAAGCAAGGGACAAAACCCACTTCAGTGGCAAACGGAAAGAAACTTTGGTATAAAGATGTTAACTAGTGGAGAAACTATTTATAAATGTGTACAGTTTGTTTTATCTTGTAATGTGAGCATGGGAGCATTGCAGGGTTACTTAATACCAGTCTTAACATTTTCTATGTTTTTGGTTGGTTTTGGTGGTTGTTCCCTTTTTTTTTTTTTTTTTTTTTTTAAGGCAGCTAAAGATTATATATATATATATTACTATTAAACTGCAATCTTCCCCCCCCCTCCATATATTTTCTCAATATGATTTAGAACATTCAAGCCTGGTATTTTCAATCAAATGAAATATTTATGAAATGGGTTTTCTCTTCATTCTGCATTCATCAGGACTTTTCAATACTAAACGATTGTGGTATTTACAGTATTTGCCAAAACTTAAAATTTTGCAAATACTAGGATTTTACCAGTGTTATTTTGATAAACTTTATGTGCAGAATTTGAAATTTTAACTTTGGCATCTAAAGTTTACATGGAATACATGTAATATTTCAGAATTTACATTGAAATATAAGTTCCATGGAAAACAAACCATAAAACGTAATAGGTTTTCCATTTTATCAACTGGAATGTTTTATGTTAGTTTGTTTTTCCACTACACATTCCTCATTTTCATTCATTTAATCTGCCAATTATTTAATTTTTTTTATTGTAGTTTTTAGGATTTGCTTTTATTTTTTTTACTTTGATGCCTTTCAAGTTGGCATGTCTTTAAAGTATTTTGTTTCTTTGATTTAAAAATGTGTTTGTGTGCATACGTGTGTGTGTATATATATATAAATATATATATTTTAAATCATATTAACTTTACCAAATGAAACCAAGCCATATTGTTTTTTGAGCCAATTAAGAAAATTGCCATTTTAAAGTGTAGCATTTTGGGGCGATAAACTCACATGAACTGACAGTATATTTAGATTACTGAAAGGAAAACCACCTTAAGAATTTGGTTGAAAGTTTTAGTGTTGTCTGAGAAGTAAGAGGGAAGGCAGTTGACTGGTAAGTATTAAAAAAAAAAAAAGAGGGAAAAAAGAGAGTAGTTTTGTCTTAAAGGAAAACTATCTGGTTATGCCAGAATGTGAAAGGAGATAGTAAAAGCTAAACTTGAGAGTGTGTAGTAAGTTGTAGAAGGCTTGGGGGAAGTGGACTTTATTTGCCTTGGTATATAATGCCTGCGAATAATGGGTTTGAAAAGACAATGAAATATGTTGAAATTTTGACCACTTTAGGTCAATTTTGGTGGATTTATTCATAAAAGGGGAGAAAGGGCATTAATCTTTTATTATAAAGTGTTCCTGTTCAAATGAGATGCTAGTCTTTAAGTGGGGACTAAAAGTTCTGTGTCATGGCAGATTTATAATGGTGATCAATTCAAGTAAATATTGATTGGTATGTGAACTATAATTGGCCAGGGGAAGTAAAAATTAAGAAAAACTGTATATAGATCAATCCAAATGATTTCTCTGTATAAATGAATTATACAATTAAAAAAAAGCACACAAACAATCACCCTTAAACGTTTCTTGGCTGGTGGATGTGTGGGGTACATTTGTCAGAATATATTGTTATGATAAAGGAAGTAGTGGCAAACCTCACAAAAGTTTTTAAAAAGTATACATAAACTTTTGCAACTAATTGATGAATAAGAGAAAGACTTCTAGGTCATGTAGTGCATCTTTTTTAAAAAATGTATTTTTATTGATATCAGAGAGGAAGGGGGGAGAGAGAGAGAGATAGAAACATCAATGAAGAGAGAGAACCATTGAATGGTTGCCTCCTACACACACCCCACTGGGGATGAAGCCCACAACCCGGGCATGCACCCTTGACCAGAACTGAACCCTGGATCCTTGATTCCACAGGCCAACACTTTATCCACTGAGCCAAACCAGCAAGGGCCATTTTGTGCATCTTATTAAGCCATTTAGGAGGCAGTATAATCACGAACAGCAGTTGAGTTGAAGACAGCTGAATATCTGGCTGTTTAGTGGATGTGATTGTAAAGCTAATAGCAAATCATTCTGATGAATTTGATTAATTTCAAATTCTAATTTAGGAGTCAGGTTTCTAACTATGACTTGAGACATATCTAACAATTGGAATGTATGGACTTAATTGTATCCTAAATCAAACAAACTTTTAATAAGAAAATCGGAAATATCTACTATAGACTGGATATTTGAAGTTCAGTTTTGTTTTTCTGTTTAACAGCATTCTGATTACCTTTAGAGACAAATTCTGAAGTATTTATTGATAAAATTGTATTATGTCTAGGATTTCCTTCAAAATTACGGGCAGGAAAATGGAGCTAAAAATGAAACAAGATTGATCATAAGTTGAGAATTTCTGAAGCTAGATGAGAGATTAGAATTCATTATAGTCTTTGCATATATTTTTGTATATGTTTGGAACTTTTCACTAAAAAAGGAAAAGAACTTAAGGAATTGCAGGTATAAGTTTTTAACTTCTCAACCTCTTAACCCCTTCTAAGCCCCCAGCCTTCACTTTCCAAAGTAAGGTCAGAATGTTTATCAAACACAGCTGCCTGTGCTGTTTACCATCTCACAGAAACTCAAACCTTTTGCCTTCAACACTCAACATCCTCTTCAGTACAGCTTGGCAGTATTATTAGACTAATCTCGGCTCTGATTTAATTCACACAGCCTTTTTTTTTTTTTTCCCACTGTGTCCCTTCCTCTATCACTACTTGTTTTCTTTGCCTACCCTTTTCCTCTGACACAAACATGGATCCACAACTGTATTAAAACTAGTGGCTCGTTGCATGAAGAGATTCGTGCAATAAGCCTTCCTTCCCTTGGCTTCCTGCACCCAGGGCCCAGGCCTTTGCTCAAGCCAGAGTCTGCCCTCTTTTTCTTCGCTGCAGACTCCGGAGTCTGCAGTCTCGTCTTCGCTGCAGCACTACACTCCTATAGATCCCTTCGCCCTTCGCCCTCCCTCTCATAGCAGGCACCCTGCCCTGCCTGGCCACTCGGTGCCTGGAGCAGCTTACCGGTCACCATCTCTGGCCTTCTAATTTGCATACTCACTCTGATTGGCTATGGGCATAGCAGAGGTACAGTCAATTTACATGTTTGTCTATTAGGTAAGATGAAGCAGTAAGAAAGGTATGTTTCCACTTCACCCAATGAAACAATTCCATGAAACCCAACCCTGAGAATTTCCTGCTAGGACCATTTTGTTAACTACATTCCTGCCTCTTAAGAAAGGAACTAGCATTAAAATATCTGATAATGTTTGTGTTGTTGATTAAATCAGAAGGTAAGGCAAAACTAGCTACATTTAAAGAATTTTGATAATCTACCATGTAATTCTGATTTCTCCAGAGCTGCTGCTAGGGGCAGGTGAAAATATTTTCATTTCCCTCCTTCACTGAGCAGGGCAAGCAGAGACAGATTAATCAAGTTAGACCTGAGCATTTAGTCTGATTCCCTCCTTACCAACAGAGGCATCTGAAATCTGAAAACATCAAGTGACTTACCCAAGATTATATAGCTGGTATGTGGCAAAGCTGAGATGAAAGGCAGCTATGTATCAACCCTGCATTATAGCTCTTGAACCAAACATGCTTGTCACCCCAGGACCTTCCCTTTCCCCTTCTCCTCCTCCCCCCCCCCCCATCCCAATTTCAGGCTACTACCAATCAGGGATCCACCTCTGGTGAAAGACCTTGTCTGTCCTTCACCTTGGACCCAACCATCTTGAGTTTATGCTACTGCCCAGAAGTCCCAGCTCATTCTGCATCATAACTCTAAGGAAAGTTGACTAAGCCCACCATACCTTCCTTTTGAAAATATACTTCCTCCAACTCCTGTGCCCTCATGTTTCTCCTTGTTCTATCTTCCTAGCATCTTATCTCCTTTGGCCTCTTCTCTTCCAGATCTAAATGCTGGAAAGCCACAAGCCTCATTCTCCAGACTTCCTTTTTATGCTCCTGGGACAACTGACCCATTCCTATGACTTGAACATCACCATACCCAGTAACTCCCAAATTTATATCTTTAGTTCTCACCTCCCTGAGCTCCAGACTCACTACCCAGCAGCCTATTTCTCATGCCCACTGGGAAGTCTATCTCTCACACTTGACCCAAGAGAACTTGCTGCCCATTCCTAATCCTTTCCTCTTTAATCTTCCCAGTAAATGTTATGAGCATTCATCCAATCTGATTCCTCTAACTCTCACCCCATGACTACTCCATCTGTAAACCATGTTACCCCGCTTCCACAATTTAGAATCCTAGCATCGCCCACCACTTTGATTGTTTCAAATTAGTATTAGCTGCAGTAGGTCTGGTCTTAAAAACAGCAACAGCCTCCTAACTGGCCTGCCACACTTCACTCTCACCACCATATCACAGCCTGATGATCTTTCCAATGCAAAAATCAGGCCATAATAAAATATCAAAGTAAAACGTTAGCGCTTTAAAAATTGCATTTTCTGATGCTAAAATTTATACATTTGTAAAATTCAGAAAATTATTAAAATTAAATTGCCTGAAGAGAATGAGAAGGCATTCAAATCCCAGCTACCAAAGACTAGGAAAAAATATATATTTGTTAAGTAAACAAACCAATTTTTAAATGGGCAAAGACGTGGACATCTCACCAAAGAAGATACAAAGATGGCAAATTAAGCACATGGGAAGATGCTCCACACCATGTCACTAGGGAATTGCAACTTAAAGCATCAATGAGCTATCACTATGCACCTATCAGAATGTTGGAATCCAAAACACTGACAATACCAAATGCTGGTGAGGATGGGGAGCAATAAAAATTCTCATTCACTGCTGGTGAGATTGCAAAATGGCACAGCCACTTGACAGTTTGTCAGTTTCTTACCAAACTACAAAACCTACCATATGATCTAGATCTCATGTTCTTTGATACTTACTCAAAGGAGTTGAAAACATGTCCACACAAAAACCTGCAGCTTTACGCATAATTACTCAAACTTAGAAGCAACCAAGATGTCCTTGGTGAATGG